CCTGCTGGGTTCAGGCAATTCTCCTGCCTCAGCCTCCTGAGTAGCTGGGATTACAGGCACGCACCACCATGCCCAGCTAATGTTTTGTATTTTTAGTAGAGACGGGGTTTCACCATGTTGACCAGGATGGTCTTGATCTCTTGGCCTTGTGATCCACCCGCCTCGGCCTCCCAAAGTGCTGGGATTACAGGCTTGAGCCACCACGCCCGGCCAGCAATACCTTTTATTTATTTATTTTTTTAAGACAAGGTCTCACTCTGTCACTCAGGCTGGAGTGCAGTGACGCCATCATAGCTCTCTGCAGCCTCAATCTCCTAGGCTCAAGTGATCCTTCTACCTCAGCCTCCAGAGTAGCTGGGACTACAGGCACATGCCAACAGCCAATTAAAAAATTTTTTTTGTAGAGATGAGGTCTCACTTTGCTACCCAGACTGGTTTCAAACTCCTGGCTTCAAATAATCCTCCTGCCTTTACCTTTCAAATGCTGACATTGCAGGTATGAGCCACCATAGCCAGCCAATTCCTTTTTAATGAATCTATAATTCAATACAATTCCAGTCAAAGTTTCAATAGGGTTTGCTACTGAAATTAACAAGGTGATCCTTAAATTCTTATGAAAGGATAAATGGTCTTTTAAAGTTTTTATCTATTCTTATTAATTTGTTTTCACAATTAAAAATTAAAAAATTACCACTACCACCCCCCAAACAAAACAAAGTCCTATCCACTCTGTGTCCATGTTATTAAATTCACTTTAAGATTTAGTAAAACACTCCTTGCCCCTGGGGACTGTACCCTTTCACTCAATGCGAGGACTTTTACTGAGGCCATCTAGTATAACTTAACCATCTTCCTTCCCTTCCATGAATTCTCTATTTTTCAATGTTCAAAGAGTTTAATTGTTCACTTTTTAAAAAATCCTTTCATTTAGGATTAGGGTAGCAGTTTAATCTTGCTATCCAACCTTGTTTTCTAAACATCAGTCTCTCTTTAGTTTCCATCACAAGATTCATTTCTCAATGGTGAAATATGATTACATTCAGTCCTTTTTTGCTTATGGGTTTCAGTGTTGAAGTTAAAATCCCAAGAGAGGCCAGAAAAGATACATACAAAGAAACACATCTGGATATGAAAACAGAAGAAGCACCTTTGCAATTTTAGCCACTTTGCTCTATCACATGCAAGTAAAATCTACCTTTAAGGTAAGTTAATTCAGCAGCACTGTTGATGCTCAGTAAATCAGCTCCTTGATTCTGACATGAAACATAAGCTTCTTTCCAAGAAAGAGCTGCCTGAGTATTAAATTGGTAGCAACTTCCAAACTGTTCATTCTTTTCCCAATTATCTTCACAACCATTTTCTGTTGATAAAAAGATACATCAGTGATCACAAAGTAAGGACATAATGTTTTCTATTACTTAGAATGCTACGAATACTGCAAGTCAATTTGCATACTCTTAGGATATGCCCAAATGGAGACTGCCATCCCTCCTTTAGACCATATTTTGATCACAGTAAAATTGGAATTATAACACACCAAATTACCCAGGCTGGTTGAAGCTTCCACTCTTTCCTATTTTCTACTCTCCTTTTATCCCTATCAATTACAATGCTGTGTTTTTGCCCATGTCCCTGCCTGCTCTCTGCCTGAAATACAAATCTCAGTGTGCACATGTTGTGAACACTGAGCTAATGAAAAACAAAGCTCATCTGAACATAGTGGCAGACTACAGAGGGTTTGCCCACAGCCTGCATAGAAACGGCTGTATGTGTATGTGTGTGCACAGACATGCTGCTTAAATGGCCAAGATACTGAGCCTAAGTGAGTACCTTATTTGGGAAACTAAGTCCAAGCTTTCCTTAACATTTTAATAAAGAATTGAATATATGATATATAATTCACATTAGATATGCATTATATATGCATATGTGTGCATATATGTGCCTATAATTATTATACATATATGCTTGTAGAGTATATATAATTTTAGACAAAGAACCTGCAAGCTGTTTCCTGAATGAGATATAAAAGTTTCAAGACAACTGGTTCAAAATATACTCAGTTTCCCATGTACTACCATATACTCCCAATAAGAGGGGAAGTCCAATGCAGGCTGTGTCAAATGTATCCCAGGCTCTAATTGGGAGACTTTCCAAAAGGTCTCCTACAGCCAGTTACATATCAGACCCTATAAGCTGGAAGGGCCTTTAGAGATCATCTTGTCTAATGTCCTCATTTCACAGACAGGAACAAGATCTAGAGGTGACTGTGGCAGAGCTATAATCAAGGGCACAGTTCTTGTTGATCCTCTGAGTGGCACATCCTGCTTCTTCAGCCATTTTTCTATGGCATAAATAGCAACAGAGATTCTGACACTTGGTAAAAACAAAATAGGGTGGATTTGCAAGAACACTGTCTAAAGGTTCATTGTTACCACTGAGGCCCTACACTTGTAAATCCAGAAGTTTCCGGCAGGGGATGGCAGTGTGTTTGCTATACAACATGACCCCCATGATTTACAAGCCCTCAAGTTTTAGAAACTCACAATCTTGTTTCTTCCATAAAAAGTAACTCCAGGAAGCATATGAATGCATTAACACCACCCCCAAACCCTCAACATACACACAACACTCACAAGAGGCTAAAGGCACCAAGACACATCCCTTTCAAGGCAACAAGGTACAGTGGAGGTAAATACGTACAGTGGGGAAGGAGGATAAGGAATCCATCACCAGTTTCCACAAAAATGTGGTCTGACCCTGACAGGTCATTTCATTCATCTGGGCCTGCTGCCTCTCACCTGAGAAACAGGGGTTTGCATTGGATAACCTCTAAGCAACTTTTCATACATTTCTGATCCAAACGATAAGGAGAGTTAAATGAAGTTGATATCTGGCTGACCAAACTCTGCTTATTATCAATTACAGCTGAAGTAAGTACTGGCTTTTTCTATTTTAGTAGGTAGGTTACAGGTGTTGAGAAGGCTGGGCCTCTAATTAGATAATACTCAAAGTGTGGTCCCCAGACCAGCATCATCAGCATTACCTGGAAACTTGCTAATTTTAGGGGCCCCACCAAAAATCTACTAAATCAGAATCTCTGGGCCCTAGATATATGTGTTCTAACAAACTCTCCAGGTGATTCTATTGCACCCTGAAATCTGAAGTCTTAACCCAGTATAATCTCTTCAAGTTGCATAGAACTCTGCATGCTGAAGCTCAGATTCCTGAAGGAGGGATCAGCATTACTAATACCACCTGGCTAGCTACTCAATGAGTTAGGATGGTATAGCTGTTTAGGGAAAGGACTTCATAGCCAGGCTTCCTGAGTCTGAATCCTAGCTCTGATATTTATTAGTTCTGTGATCTTAGGTAAGTTATGTATGTCCCTGTGCCTCACTGTGATCATCTGTAGAATGGGGATTAAATTATGGTACCTTTTAGGGTTGCTGTGAGGATTGAATGAGTTAATGTATATTGAGAGCCTGAAACAATATCTGACACCAGGCTGAGCCCTGTTAAGTATTAACTATTATTACTTAGGCCTGGAGCTCTTTCCTTTCTCTTTGCTATATTCTTTCAACCTATTGTCCATTAAGTAATATTTTGTGAGTACCTATCACATGTCAGCTGCTGTCATCCCCTGTAACTCTCACCTAATTGGTGAGAAACTGTGTCTCAGTTGTGCCAGATAATGATGTAATTGCTACTTTGGTCTCTCTCTTTCTAAAGAACAGCAAATTCTTTAACAAATCCTGAACAGTTTGCTTCTAGTAAAAAGTAATGAGAAAAAGTACTCTGACCAATACACAAGAAAGGTGGAAGGAACAGTGTCACCAATTTTGAGAACCCCAGGAAGATCTATCTCTTCTCTTTCCAGCTCTTTACTTCAGGCCATAAATATACTTAAGACTTCACCATTTGAAAAGTGTTTCTCAACTGATCTCTCCCTCAAATTATCCTTTGCTCTTTTAAATAAACATTATAGGAGGTCACTGTTTTGGACTAAGCTCCTGATCTAGGAGTCAAAAATCAAAATGGAGTCACCCATGCCAAAGTTCCATGTCACCATACTGAAATGGAGTTCTTATCTGACCTTTTGAGAAATCAGAAAAGCGGACTGCCTAATTTCCCAAACAGGCCAGTTTCAATCTTTAATTGACCTGATAATGAAGTTCCCTGTGTTTTAATCCTTAACCTGAAGTCACCTGATGTTAACCAATCAATTATTTCTCTATTGTTCTGTTTCCCTGTCCACATCTTACATGGAAAGTTACTTTGAAATCACCAATCCACTCTTTGCTTTTTGTTTTTGTTTTCCTCAGCCCTATTTCTGTCTACAAAGCCAACCCCCTCTGTTCAATGAACTGGAACCCTTATAGTCCTCTATTTTTTAAATGAAGTGTTGCCTGATTCTAGAATTGCAATAAAGCCAAATGAGATTGTAACTACATAAATTTGCTGCAATTTTGTTCTTTGCCAACCATCTCTTTTTCTTCTCCATGAAGCTTATGAGGCTTATTTCCTTCTGTTCATGCTTCAGTCCACTACAACCCAGCTTCTACCGCCTCTAGTCTTCCGAAACTGCTAAAGGTCAGCAGCGATTTCCCAACCGGGCATGCCTTTTCCACACTTCCTCTCCCTGAGGTGCCTGTGCTGTCGAATACTCCTTCCTCCTCCTCCATGACACCATCCACCTTGGTTCACTTCCTGGCCTGCTTCTGAAGGCAAATCATACCTACACATTACCTCTCTCTTCTCCAAACTTACACGCCTTATCTGGGATAATATTTTTGCAGTCACTTTTGAGTCACTTTGAACTCTTCCTTCTCCCTGTTGCCTCATATAAATTTACTGCCTTTCTGCATGAAGTTTACCAGCCCATACATACCAGGCTTTAAGCAGATGCCCCACTTTCGGTCATATTCATAATTGGAGGTGGTGGCACACCATGGCCCACTATGATCTTCATCAAGGATGCATTCATGATGCCAGGTCCCATCAATTAAGAATGGAAATTCACAAGGTCTCCCATAGGAGTTCCCATCTTTGGTATAGATCTCTGTGTTGGAAAGGAAGTTGGGGAAAAGAGAGTTAAAAACTGGGTAGTCAGCTTCAGTTGCCTAATTTCTAAAACTATTTTTAAAAGAAATACTGTTGTTTTCACTTAGAATATAATATCTGAGTATAGGAATTCAGAGCATGGGTGTTCTCAGGTCTGGACTTGAATGCTGGCTCCCCACCGACCTGCAGGGTATCTGTGGGCAAGCTATCCAATTTCTAGTAGCCTCAGTTTCTGCTTTTGCAAACTGGGGATAGCACTCAGTGATCATCCATGTGAAGCTTCACTTATTGTGGTGTGATGAGGAGCTGAAAGAGCCTGGTTTGATCAGGTGAGGGTCTACTAACTCTGCTGTGGGCAACAGAGCACTTCACCAGAAAGGGTGCCCTGGCTGAGGTTAAATTTACCTCTATTTTATTTTCTTCAGAAAGTGCTGGAGCCAAAAAAATACCTGGGAACCACTGAGGGTGGGTGTGGACTTTGGAACCACCTGTGGAGTTAGAGAGATGGACGAACAGTCCCATTGTTCAGAGACTGGAGGTAGAATTGACACTGTGGTTTTTGAGGAAGTAAGAGGAAGAGCCGCTGAATTTCTGTGTTGATTCCTCCGGAGGAACAGGGCACTGTAATTGGGTTGTGAAAGAAGCAGCAGCAGCTTTAATGGTGCAGTCATGGGACCAGCTGGTGGCCAGTGAGGTAGTAGACGTGGTTTTTCTTTTAATTACTTTCTCTGGTACATGGAGAGGAGCTGGAAAGTAATTCCAATCTCAAATATGCCTGGAAATGCTAGAAAGAGCACTTGATGCTTATATCAATATCAATTCTCTTAAAAAAAGTGTTTTTATAGAACAGCTAACCCTCTATCTCTTTTGTCACATTTTCCTAAATCTTCAATTTGTTAAAAGCCCCGGTCATTAACAGATCAAATAATGGCCATTAGGTAAATCATAGTAATTAGATCTTATCACCCTTTACCAGGCAATTAGAGTTCCTCAAAATGTCTCAAAGATTTGCTTAAAAGTGTGCTTAAGACAGTATTTGATTCTACTTTCTTTATTATTCTCAAGTGTCCATCTAAATGAAACATGAGGCCATTTAACAGCTTAGAATGTATTAAGCAGAACTACAGTAAAAGTCCTGCTCAGTACATTCTATAAGAAAAATCTGGAGGCTTTTCTTGGCAAATAGTCTTTTAAAAATCACTGGTTTTGTTTTCCTATGTCATATAAATAGTTTTCAAAAGGGTACTTCTGTTAAAGAGTATATTTTATATGGATTCTGCTTATTACCTATGTTTTGGTTTTAACCATATCAAAAACCCCCAATAGCTCATGACTAATTTCTCTTTCCATGCCACAAACCTAAGAGGACAGTCTCTGAACACAGGATTGCTCCTTGTAGAACCATCCGTTTTATTCTAAAACCTTTGATTTTTGGAATACAAAATGCCTTGGTATACATTTCTGTCATTTGTTTTTTATCATAAACCTGTGAGATCATAGGGGAAGTATTTTACTTGTCTGGGAAATCCCCATTTTTGCAGTGTAGTCAAGTGAGACATTCAGGCACTCATCTGCAAGTGACAGGGATGAGAATGGGCTCTCTGATTAGTCTTGACCTATAAGGACAACTTGTGACATCAGCGGCTGTCAAGTTTCAAGTGGCTTCTCAAGTTTCAAATTAGATTTCATAGCTCAAAGCTGGGCTTCAATTAAAAAGCTCTCGTCACAATATATGCTTTGAAGAATGATAGGCATACAACCACCATACCAGAAGCAGCTAAATTATGCTAACTATTCACTAAGTTTTGCTCCCACACATTCTTTGCTGATGGGGACCTCTTATATGCCATGGGCTTCCTTAGCAAGACAGGTTTTCCTGAAAAGAATCTTTTCTGAATGTGTGAATTTGTGGTGACAACATCCTTAAAACAACAGCTTATTATGTAATAGGTACACATTTGTGAGATGAAGTGATTATGCAGAAAACTGGCAAATTAATGTCATCAGAAACATGAGACAAAATAGTTTCAATGGATAAAGAGGTTGTTGGCAGGCTTCTAAGAGTTGCCTAGAATTCTGCAGCCACCCTACCACGAAAAGTCCATTTCCTCTACATGATTCACCAAACATTCAAAATTTGAAAAGTACTAGTGAGATCAAGATATCTTAATGATATAAATGTACATCTACCTGGGTGCTAGTCAAAAGCAGTTTACTAATAAAATTTATACAACTTTGGTTTTCTCTGAGATGAACACGTTGCACACAGGATGGGAGTTGGGTTGAGAGGCAGCCCAAGGCACAATGATAAATTAATGTTCTTGTGTCACAAGCGAAAACCTTTTTTATACTGCTAAAGCCGAGGGAGAAAGAAAGAAGCTATGTTTGGGGAATGGAAAACTGGTTTTTGAGCCCGAGTTTTGAACAAGCTAAGTAACCTTGGACTTCCTTTTGTTGGGACTCGGATATCTTGTATGTTTTGTTTCTATACTGCCAGATAAGAAGGTGGGGACAACAACCAGTATCAAGAGTCCGAGCGAGGAGTCCTAGAGAAAGTACCTAACTTAAGACAGCAGTCCCTAACCTAAGAACAAGAAGGGACATACGTAAATTGAAAAAGGGAGAATTGCCAGGACTTCATATTTGATTATATTGGAGTGGTGGACGAGGAAAGCCTGAAACCTCTACGGTGCCTTGCTGATTTCTGACATGTAGAACATAGATGGTACCGGTCATCTAGACAGAAACAGAGAAGAGGTGGCAGGTTTGGCGCTGGTTTCTGTGCAAGTTAAAACTTAAGGTATGCCTTGACTAGTCATAACTATATATGCTTTAAAAAAAAAGCTTTAGTGTTTCAAATATTGTATTTGAAAAGGTCAAGAAACATTTTATGACTGTGGGCTATGCTGGTGGCATTGCTTAACTCTCGCTGAATGGTCCCCTGGGTGGGTCCTTAACCTTTTTTGTGCCACTGATCACTTGGCAGATGAGTGAAACCCACAGTCCCCATCTCAGAAGAACATTAGAAATGCGTAAATAAAACACATAGGATAAAAATGAAAACCAATTATATTGAAATGAAGACACTCCGGAGACTGAGGGAGTTTAAGATTACAACTATGCCCATCAAAAGAATTAGATCAAGAGACTAAAAGAACCCTGCCAAGAAAATTATCCATTCTGATCCCTGGACAAATACAATAAAACAAGTTAAATCCAATTCAAAAGGCATTTTGTTTGGCTCTGTGTTTTCTCTTAGTTGGCAAGTTGGAGAAGGGCTTTTGTGGCACAGAATTTAAATTTACCTTTAAGTCATATCCAGAAAGCAACTGCTTTACTTTTAGGAGGAAGCTGGCTCACAGAAACAGATTGTTAATTATTCAAAGGTCAGGGATTGACAAAAAGGAAACCCCCATCTCTAATTCTCTAATATTTCTCTATAATAATGGAACTTGACATTCTCAGAATAATTTCTTCATCTTCACTAGGAAATAGACTAGAAAGAAAAACGTGTGTGGATGTATAATGGAAAGTATGGGAGCAAAGCTGCTATCCTGACTTTGAAGCCAAATTTAGCTTAAATTAGCTTTAAGAGAAGAAGAAAGTCATTGTAAAGCTAGAGGAGTTTGTAAAGAAAGACAAGGGAATAGGACGTAGACGACATAATTATATGCCTATTGATACTTGGTGTAATTTAGAGCAACATAATGAAAAATATTTGCTTGGGTGATAGCCAATTACATTTAGTGGTTAAAAAAATAAATCTACCCATTCTTTAACTTGGAAATTAGTTGCAATCCAGTCCCTAGACTCCAAGCTAAGTCCATGGCTAGCTCCCCCTAAGACAATATTCATAAAGTTATTTTTGGAAGCAACAGAAAAACTCTCTCTTAAAATGCTGAATCATAAATATAAATATCAAAATTTGGTTGCCATGCCAAAAGTGAAAATAAATAAGGAAATCCACTCAAAGTTTTCCCATTTTATGTAGGCAAGGGAAAATACATTTTTCCTCCTTCTCCTTCTTTTCTTTTTTAAGAGATGGGGTCTCACCATGCTGCCCAGGCTGAAGTGCAGGGGCTATTCACAAGTGTGATCATTACACACTGCAACCCTGAATTCCTGTGCTTAAGTGATCCTGCTGCCTCAGTCTCTCAAGAAGCTGGAACTACAACCATGCACCACTACACCTGGCCTTTCTTATTCTTCTTTTAAAACTTAGAATAAGATCAACATTATTAGATCATTTGACTTTTAGCCTGTAAAAAGATTTCCTGTTAATCTAATGTTTCCTTTCCTCTAGGGTTCAGAAGACCATCAGAGGAAGTACATAGCTATCTGATGAAATCCCAGGTTTATCACAACATGGTTGTGTGACCTCAGACAAGGCACTTAACCTTTCCTAGCCTTACCTGCAAAGTAGGGGCAAATACCATTGACGTGTAAGAATGTCACTCAAAGTAACTGCACAGTGCCTGGAACTGAAGAGCTTGCTCACTGCCCTTACCAATGTACAACTCTATTTTTACTAAATTGTGCATGTTCAATGCCATGAGTGACAAGCACAACAGCAAATCGGTCAAAGTCCCTCTCTAATACTCACCATGATAAGGCTGATCACAAAGGCTTTCCTCTGAGCCTCCTTTCTTCCAGACATCAGATGCATTCCAGATTGCCGTGCCATGTCCATTCTTGAGAGCCAGCCGATACTGGGCAGCACCGTACAGAGAGTGGTGCTCACATTTCCACCACAGCATGGCACTGGAGTCACAGCTGAACATTCGCAAGGAATCCACTGGTTTGGTAATATCTAGGCCAAGGCACTTCTGGGATTTCAAATGAAAGAGCCGATGCTGGGACACCCACTTCCATAACATGTCCCCAGTTTCATCACAGTCTTTTGCTACTATCCAGCTATTCAGTGGCTTGATGCACTTGCCTGTGTTTTGATGGACGATGGTGAAGGGGTCATTACCTGAGTCAGATGGACAGACAGATTCTGGATTATGTGGTTGAAGTACCTTGCTCCCTGCCTGCTGAGGAGAGTCTGAGCACCACTGTACTGTTGCCACCCTCAGATCGTTCCCACCCTTTATATGCTGTAGTGGACCATGCAAGGTGGGAAGTGGTGACCAGAGAGGCACTGCAGCATGTGGGGTCGGTCAGAGCATGGAATCTAGAGCCCAGTCAGCCTAGGTCCACATTTTGCTGCTACTACTTATTAGTCATAGGATCAGGGCAAATCGTTTAATCTCTGGGCTCCAGTTTTCTCACTTGGAAAATGGAGCTTACTTCATATGGTGGGTGTGAGCACAAAGCAGCTAATCCATGTAAAGCATGTAGAGGAGCATGTATATGTGTTGTTGCTATTCCATGAAACATTTTCTTCCCTTCTCATTTAATAAGATAAAAGAAGCTCTTTTTTCATCTCAATGAAAAGTGTCCGAGTCTATCTGGGACCATAATTCTGCCTTGCTTCCATGTTAGCTACTATGGCAGGGTAAATTATTACAGGAAAAATCGATGCTTAACACAGCATGTTCACTATACGTTCCTTTCTTCAGATCCAAGTATGTAGTGAGGCCTCTGTGCTCTCCTGCCTTAGGGCAAGTTAGTGTGGTCACTAAAAAGGAAAATTTAAGGGAAATCTTAAAGGTCACTTCCCCCTATATATTTTTTGGAGGCCTACATTCATTGCGGCATCTCAGAGGAAATGGGGAAACTTTTGAGGGAGCAGCAGATCAGTGGGTATAGAAACTGGAAGAAATAGAGGTCTGGGTTCTGAGGATAAGGGAACCTGTGTCCAGCTCCATTGTGGCACCCTCAGGAAGGTGACAGGACCTGGGGAAAGGCTGGGGGGACTGACTTTGTAGATCACCTAAGAAGGCTGAACCCCAAACTCCAGGAACTACCAGAGTGATGACTGATGAGTCTTGAGCCACCAGATTCAAGATCCTGTGGGTTTGGACAATGAGAAACCCAGAAGTAACCAGTGGGATCCAATGCCTAAAGAAGGATCCTCCCTGAATGTTCCCCTGGCACTTTGCATGAGCTGGGAAAGACCCCAGTAAGGACAGTTATTGAAGTTCTGGCAACCTGGTGGAATGGGAGCTCAGAATAAAATTGAATCTAGTTTTCTGAAAATAAAGTAAAGCATTTTTTCTTGCACTCCTGAGTTTGTGGAATAAGATTGACATCTGTTACCACAACTTATAATCGGACAGTTTGGTTAGTTTTTTACAAAGGAACATTTTAAACAAGTTATAGCACAGGTCATCATGTTGGTAAGAGTAAAGCTGAAATATTTGACACATGCTTAAGCAACCACTGTCAATGAACCAGAGTTCAGCAGAAAGACCCATAAAATTTTGGTTCCCAAAAGGCACTTTCACTTTGATACCGGCGTCACAGTCACTGGTTTCACTAACATCAGATGCTTTTCTTAGTAATAATTCAAAGGCTTTCAGAGTTAAAAATTCCCATACCAGGGACTGGTGACTTGAGGGGAATTTTACCATGTAAATAATAACTATAAAATTAACTCTGACTGCAGCTTGAACTTCGGATGGATTTTTTTTTTTTAAATATCAGAAGCAACAAGAGAAACAAAAAGAACAACAAAAATTATTTAAAGTTTAAAGTTATTTCTGCCTTTAAATCTGAATTTTAAAAGTATTCCACAGGGCTGCAGCCAAGGATGTTTGCCATAGCAGCTTTCATCCCTCACACTTTTTTTTTTTTTTTAAGATGGAGTCTTGCTCTGTCTTCCAGGCTGGAGTTCAGTGGTGTGATCTCAGCTCACTGCAACTTCCATCTCCCAGGTTCAAGTGACTATTATGCCTCAGCCTCCCGAGTAGCTGGGATTACAGGTGCCCACCACCACGCCCAGGTAATTTTCGTATTTTTAGACAGGGTTTCACCGTGTTGGCCAGGCTGGTCTCAAACTCCTGACCTCAGGTGATCTGCCTGCCTTGGCCTCCCAAAGTGCTGGGATTACAGGCTTGAGCCACCGTGCCTGGCCACATCCCCCACACTTTCTTCTTTGACATCCCTCTGGCATTTTCTATGTAATGGACACAGGCTGGAAGGACAGTCAACAAAAAAGGAAAATATACTGCCTTATAAGATTCCTACTTACACTTTCTCTCATGGCCTTCTCCCACAATTCAACAGCTACTCAGAGCTTCGATCTACATATTTTCGAAATCATTGTCTCTCGCCTTTCCAAAATAAATCTTGCATTCCAAAGTATCAAAAATTACAGAAGAAAAAAGAAGTCTCCTCCTGCAGGAGACGTGGCCATCACCATTGTTGGAAACATCCCCTCTCCTGCCCTGTAGTTTTGCTGCTCTCTTTCCTGGGCATTCTACTTTGTGCACTCTATCCCAAACAGGTGAACCAGGAAGCAGCAGCTTTGCCTTTCTTTGCAGTTTGCAGTTCTAGATTTTTCAAAGTTTTTGTAGAATCCAATGGATTAGCTATATTTCTTTGTAAAGTGGAAAGAGCAGGAGATAGGGGTCCTAGATTAAAGACCTACCTCTGCTACCAGTTAGCTGGGAGAACATGGGGAAGCTACAATTTCCCAGTGTCTTTGTATCTTCAAATATAAGATGAAAGCAGTCCAGTACAAGGTATCTAAAAGCCATTTCCAGTGCTAACATCCTCTGCTTTCACAAGATAGTATCCTTAGCCTTGTAGGTTCATTCATTGCATATTATTCTTGAAGAGGTGTCCATGAATTTATTACGTCATGCTACTGCTCATAGCATTTCAGGTCATTCTTTTGTTTGTGAGACAAGGGAGGTCCCACACTGTCACCTAGGCTGGTGTGCAGTGGTGATCACAGCTTACTGCAGCCTCAACCTCCAAGGCTCAAGTGATCTTCTCATCTTAGACTCCCGAGTAGCTGGGACCACAGGCACAAGCCATCACATCTGGCTAACTTTTTGATTTTTGGTAGAGACAAGGTCTCACTTTGTTGCTCAGGCTACTTTAGAACATCTAGGCTCAAGCAATCTTCCCACCTTAGCCTCCCAAAGTGCTGGGATTACAGGTATGAGTCACTGCACCCAGCCCATTTCAAGCCATTCTAATCTCACTTGTATCAGGCATGTGCACTGAAGTTACAGTTCTGTTTTATAAACATTTTTTGGAAGAGAAAGAATTATCCTTTTCTACTTTATACACATTTTTACTTCCACACATTTTTACTTCTGGACACCTGTGAACTTAACAACCATGTAGCAACTCTAAAACACTACAGGAGAGGTGTGGAGGAGCCACATGTTAAAGTGGAGCTGCTGAGCTTCCTAACAAACTGCTACATCTCTGAATATAGATATTTTTCTCAGACTAACCCCTCATTTGAACCCAGTATGCAATTTCAATGTTTGACACTTACAGTGATCACTTATTATAGATATTGTTGATATACTTAAAGGAAACTTACTAGTCTCCATATGTAATGTACATATGTGCATGCATTAGATAGGAAGAGTCCTATCCTTTTATGATGTTTCTCCATATCTTTCTTTACCCTTAGCAGGAGCTGTTCAATCTGCCTCAGTCTGATGACATTTATCGGGATAGTAGGTTGAAGAGTGGGAAGGAGGACTGAGAAAGTGTGAACATAATCCCTTATAATTACAGAGATTGTATAAAACTTATTTTATAAAATAGATTCTTTATTCATAGCTTCTTATTGTATCTTGTTCACTTCACAATGTTATACCAGTCCTCATTGAAGGTTTAATATTTACCTCCAAATATAATCTTGGGACAAATCTAAAGGCAGAAGTTGGTGAAAAGCAGCCTCATCACTCCCTAGATGCATTTTGTATATGCTTCATTTTATATAAATTCTCCAGTGGTGTTTGAGAGAAAATGGCTAAGTAGCACTACCATAAATTGAAAATGAATTTTTAGTAATTTTACATCCATCAAAGGAAAAGAATCTCTCAGTGTTTTCTTATTGTCTGATCACTAAATAATTCCTGCCTTATAAGCCCTAGACAAAAGAGCTTCACACATTCCAAAGAGAAGCTAGATATTGACATTTATAACCACAGACAAATGGATAGGGAAATAGCTTGGGAAAACAAGAAGGATGAAGATGGCAGCATTTATAATTTCGGAGGGACTGTACATAGATCACATATTAAGCATTTTGTAGAGTCTCTACCATGTGTTCAGAATGTACAGGTAGGTGCAGCAGGAGAGAATCAGAAATCTAGGTTAGTTCAAAAACAGGTCCTGAAAGTGACAGTTGGGTCCATGGCAATGTCCTGGGAATCAGAAAGTCTTCAAGCACGATTGGGGAGTGTTGGCTCGTGAGAACCTCAGGAGTCCCTAACAGATTGGGTTACTTCAAACTGTTAACTCTCCAAGCAGGCAAAAATGTAAACAAAGCACCTGGCATCGCCCCAAGGACAGAGAGGTGCTCCTTCAATGTTTGAGTGATCGAGGCCACCGGCACAAGCCTAGCCATGCACATGTGATGAGGTGCATGCCATCACTAGCATCATGAAGCGGACGCTTTGCCAAACAATTGAGCCAAATGGCTGGGGGTTCAAAATTCCAGTATTTCCCCTAACAAGGCCACAGGTCTGGTCTAAGGGTGACAGAAAATCTATCAGAGCAGCTGCTAGGTGTAAGGAAGGACGCAGGATAACAAAACCTGTGGGGACCTAGCACAGGAAGAACAGAGTTAAACCTGGTGCTTTTTGCTTTGGGTCAATGAGAAAGGGCAGTGATTGCAGAGATTGAAAGGATTAAGGAAATCTTGAAATTTGTGAAGGAGATAAAAACAGGACTGAAGCAGATGTAGATGGGAACCAAGAGGTTAGTGATTGAAAGGTTACCGCATTTTCACTGTAGTTAGGTGCTGCAGTGAACTTTTCCACCTTGGATTGTGGGGCAGGCAGAAAAATTCTCAAGGCAAAAAAAAAAAAAAGAAGATCTTATTTTTAATGATTCTTTTGGTAGTTCCTAGCACACAGGGTCAAAGGAGAATAGAGAAGTGTGACTCAGAGCAGGGTCCATTTACAGGTCCTTGCTGTAGATAGGATGGTGCCACTCACACTCAGAAATCTCTTCCCATCACTTGAAAGAAGTCTAAACAAGCTGGTAGTTTAGATGAAAAGAAAATAAGAGGCACCAACAATTTAGTGTTTTTCAAACTGCCTGAACCATCTTTTCCTTCCTCAAACAGGCACGATAACAGAAGCGGCCCGTGGGGGATGGCCCACTGAATGCCCATGATACAGCCCAACCAAGAACCAAAGTCCTCTGCACACCTCTCGCCCAGGCAAAAAGAGAAAGTAAAAGTATACGGTTGCTGCCAAGGGGTGTGGTGGGTGGGACTGGCACTACGCTGAACATCAATGAAGGGTGCCTGTTTCTGGTCCTGCTTCCGCAGTGAGAGGCAGCAGGTCCCCAGGCAGGCGACTTGCACTTCAGTGTGGGGCTGTCAGCCTTAGGGAGGGGGTCGTTTGGAGCTGATAAACCATTAAGAAGAAACTTTTGCTGCTCTAGGCGGCAGGTGAGGGCATCATAGCTGACTCTTGGTCTTGGTCACTTTCGGAGGAGATGGTTTACTTAATCTTTCTTTCTGACGTGCACCGTGGGCGCAGTGAAGTCCGGGAATCGTTGGGAATCCTTGGCGCTGTGGATGGAGGCTCCTCTTGACACTGTGGCCAAGGTGACCAAGGGGCGAAGGAAGGGCGAGAACCGGCGGGATAGGACGCAGAGGGCAGATGGGGAACCTCATACTCCAGCAATATTTTAGAAGAGAGACGACGGAGCAGGGCACCCGCCCGGAAAAGCCTCCGTGCGCCTCCTCTACGGTGGACCGCGCGCGTCCCCTCAGCACCAGAAGGGTCTTGCCCTCCCACACCCACCGCGCCCTCCTCAGGGCCCCCGAGGGCACTGGGGCGCCTCCTCCGCCGGACCTCCCCTAGCTCACCCGTCCGGCTCCAGAGACCCTACACTCCGCCCCACGCAAAGCGCCGTGACCTGTCCCGGGGGCGCAGGCCTGCCCCGGGCTGGAGAGGCGGCAGAGTTTCGGCGTCGGGGTCCCCAGCTAACTGCGGGGCGGACGTGTGCCCGCGGTTACCTGCGTGGCCAGAGGGCTCTGCGAGCTCGAAGCAACAGAGGAGCAGTATGAGGGGCCCCACCACGCGGCGAGGGGTCGTCCAGCGCGTCTTCATCCTGAGCGGGCGCAAGCCGTCTGGCCGGGTCCTCGGACGCACGCGGCACCCGCCCCTCCTGCCGAGCACGGCCTGCCCCGCCGGCGCTGAAGTCCAGGCACCTGGGGGCGCCCGGGCCCCGGCCCCGGCCCCGCCCACGCCGCCCTCGGCCAATCAGACGTGTGTCTCCTCTGTCCCGGGGCGGGGCGGGCCAGCTGTGGGAAATAAAGGGGGCGGGGCGCTGGATACCTGCGTGGGGTGGGACCCGCGAGGAAGAAGGAAGTACAAGTCTGTGGGAGAGCCTGGCGCCACCAGGCTGCTGCACTGGAGGGTTCGGTCCCCGCCTCTTCATCAGCTAAGATGGGAAGATGCGGCCCTTACTGGAACTTGGCACTGTCCTGGTGGGTGGGTTCAGTCAGTTTAAGACCTTGTCCTCTGCCTAGCGCACCGTGGTCAGGGAAGACTTCTCCATTCCAGCCTGGACTGGAAAGGGACCCACGATCCCTTCCTCCCCCGAGGAGGAAGTGAGCACCTGCCGTGTGGGTGGCTGCGGTAAAGTCTAAGAATTCAGTCGTCCTTGGCAACATCTTGGGTATTTTGATAGTGCAAACAAAGGTGGGATAATGGTACACTACAGTTCTACTCATAGTTGTTAAAGAATTAAAAGCAAGAATTACCAGAATGACCAAACGACACTTCCAAGGATGATTTATGCTTTATAACAATTTGACCTTTGAGAGTAAGCTCTTTGCTTAATAATTTAATGATAATAATAATAAGCTGGTAGAAATGTAGAAGTCTGTTATGCAGAACCAGAAATTTCATGTCCTACTTACTCTCTTCTTGTGGACACTGCTATCATTATGCCAAATTCTTAATGACCTAAGTTGCTCTAAAGTGAATGTTTTATACTTTTAAATCCCATCTTTGCTGAGCACATAATGTGTACTTGAGGTGGCCTTCATCCTTGTTGCATGAGGATGGAAAGACCTAGGTTGCTCTTCCTGACTCCCACTGCCAAGGCTTTACAGATCGGCTCCCAAACCTGCCCTGGTTCTGTCCTCTCCCCAGGCTCTGCCCTTTCAGTTGTGTAGATATAGTGAGCACTTAACCAACACAAGATCTGGGAATGCCATGGGATAGGAGGACAAAAAGACAACATCCCTGCCCTCCCATGAGTACTGGGGAGACTAAGGCACTGTGATGGATGATATTGTCAATTTGATTGGATTGAAGGATGCAAAATATTGTTCCTCGATGTGTCTGTGAGAGTGTTGCCAAAGTGGATTAACATTTGAGTCAGTGGACTGGGAGTGGCAGACCTGCCGTCAATCTGGGTGGGCACCATCTAATCAGCTGCCAGCATGGCTAGAATAAAAGAAGGCAGAAGTTGGAAGGACTTGACTGGCTGAGTCTCCTGGCCTTCATCTTTCTCCCGTGCTGGATGCTTCCTGCACTCAAACATCAGACTCCAGGTTCTTCAAGTTTTGGGCTCCTGGATACCAGTGGTTTGTCAGGGGATCTCCCGTGACACAGACTGAAGGCTTTGCCCACAGAATGAAGGCTGCACTGTTGGCTTCCCTACTTTGAGGTTTTGGGTCTTGGACTGGCTTCTTTGTTCCTCAGCTTGCAGATGGCCTATTGTGGGACTTCACCTTGTGATTGTATGAGTCAATACTCCTTAATAAACTCCCTTTCATATACATCCCTCTAGAGAACCCCAATACAGGCACACAGAGTGACACAGGGCAGAATAAAGGGGGAGACCCTGACAAAACTTGAAGGAAGGCAACATCTTAGCTAGAGCAGGTACAGCTGGTGGGAGAAAAGTAGTGACAGAGCAGAAGCCAGAAAATGCAAGCAGCATCAGAAGATAAGTCAAAAGTCCAGGGTAGCTGACCTGCAAAGGGTGTGTCTGTGAGAGAGATGAAAGTGGGTGTGGTGGGGGCCCCAGTGGAAATGACAGCAGGAAGGTGAGTTATGTCTGTTGTGCGAAGGGCCTTGACTTTATTCTAAGGAACTTTATTCTAAGATGAGAAGTTCTGAGAAGGAGAAACTGCCACTGATCTGATCTCCTCTACCTCTGTAGGTGCCTGCCTTTTTTCTGATCCTGCCCACCTTGGAGCTTCTTGAAGGCAGTGGTCTTGTGGTATTCATTATCACATCCTCAACACTGGGCACAGGGCCTGTCCCAGAGTAAGCTCTCAATAAATGTTAATCAATGAATGGATTCCTAGGGCCACCACCTTAGCTTAGGGCCATATAAGCTCCTGCTTGCATTATATTGCAATAATTTCTCAACTGACCTTACTGCCAACAGTTATTATCCTCTCTGGCAAATGAATCCTTCTAAACACTGTTTGGAGCATGCCCCTGTTCTACTCAAATCCTTTCAGTGTTATTTGCATATAGCAGGAGTTCCTAAATGCTAGTTAAGGGGAATTATGAAACCCCGAGATTTTATGCGGCTTTATAAATGCACTATTTTTTGAGGAAGAAGAGGAAGGGTCCAAGGCTTTCATGAGAATCTCAGAGATGCCCACAATACCAAAAGAAAACTCCAAGATAAAAAGCAAGTGCCTCTACAATCTGACACTTTCTCTTTACTCCCTTCCTATGTCACTCCTTGGTTCAAGCTACCTGTCTGAACCTGTCTTGCCTTTTCTGTCTCAGCCCATGTATGCATATCCAGAATGCCGTTTTCCCTGTACTTGCCTTAGTTCCAACCTTTCTTGAAGTTTCTGTTTAGATCTGACATTTTATGTAAAATACTTCTATCAAGGGGTTAACCTTCCAAACATCTACATAATACTATGCATTCTGTTCACTTGCATTTAACATATGTATCTCCAGCCATGATTTTTAATTCTGGGACATGTGCACTGATTATTCCACCTAGGTTATAGATTCTTAATAAATATTGTCAATGGTGACAATAAAAAGCAATGTGTCCTTCAGGTCTCACCTTGGATGTTACTTCCTCAAAGAAATCTTTCTTTTTAATTTTTTTTGACTCTGCGGTCTAGGTGAGTTTCCTCTATAACAGGTTCTCCAGGCTTCCCACACTTCTTCCTGAAAGGACTTAGCAGGGCTCCAGTAAATCATTCTGTGCTTGCTCATTTGTTTAATGCGTATCTCCCTCACCAGGCTGCGGGCTCCATGAAGACAGTGACTATGGCTGCTTCGTTCACTTCTGTGTCCTTAATACCTGGCACATGATTTGCTGCATGAATGAATAAGTAAATATATAGTAATGCCTCATAAATGATGCAGGCAATGGAAAGTCTAGACATTTAAAAGAGGGGAAAATCAGCTTGGGTGGGATCAGCAGTCTTCAGGCACTGAATTGGATGTCCTTGGATGAGAAGCATTCAGTAGATAAAGGCAATGAGGATGCTGCAAGCTGAGACAATGGTGTAAACAAATTACAAACATCTGCCACCCACTGGGCGCCAGGCCATGTGCTAAGTATTTCCCATGTACTCTCTTGTTTAGGAATCATCCTACAAAATAAGAACTCCTACAATCCTCATTTTATAAATGTGGAACAACGCAGAGGAGATTGATAACCTAGGCAAGGTTAATAGCCACAAGTGAAGAGATGGAAATACAACTATAGAACTTGAATGAGTGCGTGAGAGTGTTAGTAATATTTTATTCCCAATCACAATTAGGGAGGAGGGGAACAGGAGCTTTTAGAGCCCGTGAAGTTATGTTTTTAAATTATAAGATAAATCATACCTAAAAAAGAATAGCTATGCTTTTTGGCCTCTTGCAATCATATTCACCTTACTCCCACAAAGAGCTCCCTTTTCCTCTGACTCTCCTCTGACTGTCACTCTTTCTTTACAGTTTTCCCTTACATGACTCACTCCTTAAACGGTACCTATAATTTGACCTATTTTTGAATTTTATGTAAATGAATCATTTCAAAGTTTTTTTTTTTTTTTTTTTTTTGCCACTTGTCTTTTTGCTCACATTCTGTCTGTGATGATCATTTGTGTTGGTATGTGTAGTTATAGTTCATTCATTTTTATGTAGCATTCCATTAGAAGAATAAAACACACTTTATGCATTCTCTTGTTGGGGGACATTTGAGTAGTTTCTTGCTGGGTAGTTTCCATTTGGGTTTCTTGCTGTCCTGAACAATGCTCCCGTGAAGTTTTTGTACCCGTCTCCTGGTGTGCATTGCAAGTTTCCTGAGGGTATGGTCCTAGAAATGGAGTTCCTGGAGCATAGGGTATGGTAGCATTAAAATTATTGGACGGTGCCAATGTGTTCTCCAATTTACACTCCCACTGGTGTGTATAAGCATTCCCACTGCTGAACATTTTCATCAACATTGGGATTTTAACATTTTTGGTGGGACATAAAGTGGTATCTCATAGTGATTTAAAATTGTATTACCCTGATTGGTAATGAGGTTGGACATATTTTCCTCTGTGTATTGGTAATTTATATTTCCTTTTCCACATTCTTCTACATGTTATTTGCCTGTTTTTTCTTAGATCCATTCTCTGCCCTTTTCTGTTTTGATTTCCACATGGCTTCCTTGTACTTTCCAGAACCCCTTGCCTGTTGCCTTCTGCTTAGGGTCAGCTAATGGCCTGAGATGGGCATCTGGGAGGAGGAGGACTCAGGATATTTCTTTCCTCTCCACTTTCGGAGAAGACCAAGCAGTGGCTGTGTGTCTTTGTGGTTCTAGCTCCTACCTGGAAGCCCCAGCCTTTGTGTTCCCACTCTCACCAGGCAACCCCTCCCATGCTACCAGCTCCTTTTGGGTTCTCCAACGTTCTAGCTCCTACAGTATATCCTTGGTTTGTAACTGAGAAAATCCCTTCCCTGCCCCTCAGGACCCATGGATGGCAGTAGCTTGTTGTAGTTGTTGCTTTCCGGGTAGCCTCATAAGCACTTATTTTTAGCTCTTCCAATACTTCTGTAACTTGTTATTTCCCTATATTAAATTTCACCAATTGTATTACCTAGTGTGGGTTTTGTTCTCCTTACTGAACGTTGATGATCTTGATTTTACATACAAAAGAATTGTACCTTGAGACAGCATCCAAAATTGAGTTAGATGTGGACTAGAGAAACAACACATGGAACATATTCAGCCGCATGAGGAGTTGTG